CACGAGTCTACGGAAACCGCGGCAGACCAAACCAGATGAAAGTGCGCATTTTATGGACCTTTCTGCCTCGGGCACCATAGACCTCCGTTATTTGAATGTCAGCAGACAGCAAGAAGCCTCCCAGAGCTCTGAATGCATTTGAGATATCAAAAAAGTACTCCAGAGTGTTGTTCAGCATGGGGGTGAGTAGAAAATGAAGGCTAATCATGTTTTGGGTGTACTATTCCTTTAAGGCAAAATGTGCAGGTGGTGATGTTATGAGATGAGCCGAGGCTTTGAGGCGTGTGTCGAGTAGTGGAGGGGGCGTTTCCCCGAAGCGCTTGTCGAGGCGTGATTTATCGAGGGGCGGGGCCGAAATTGACGACGTTCGAAGCCTCGCTACTGTGATACCAGGTGACCGCTTCGGGTAACGGATCAGAAAGAGCAAGAACTTCATCAGGCGTTTAAACAGCCTCAGGATTCAGTCAAGATGTGGGAGTTTGGAGGAGAGCTGCTGTCAGCTGGATGGAGTTTGGATAGATTTTAAGAACAGATTGGTTGTTTTTCCAACTGATCTAGTTGGTTAAAACTATTTTAGTTAAATTAAATATTGTAATGATCAAAATCTGAGCAAGCCGCTGGACACAGATGTAGCTTTAGTACTTTTCAAAGTACTTTTGCTGTCACTAGTGCATTAACTATGTTTGTGGCGTTAGCTGTTAGACATTGACTCTCACTCCTGAGGTTGATGGTTTAAGACCCTGTTTACTTTTGAAAGTTACGATTGAACTTAAGTATTTTGGCTAATGTGACTAATTTGTATTGGTTTGCCCTCGTAAAAATAGAGCTTGGGTAAAAACGCTGCCAGATAAGATTGGCTGGTTTAGGCGAAAGATTGTTTCAACACATAACTTCCAACCCAATTATAACCAGAACGGTGGAAAAACTATAATGTTTAAATAAAAATTAAACCTAAAAATAACATTGTTGTTTCATTTTGCTCATCGTTGCACAGTTTGCACAAACACTTTCACTGTCTGCTTGAGCTTATTTCACCAAAATGGCAGAAAAAAAACGTGTACCTAAAATGATTATTCTCTTCTAAGACATTTTACACAAAATATATTATTACACACACTAATTAACTAACTGACCATTTTAAAGGAACTTAAATGGGGGAAAAACAATTGCAAAAAATCACAGATTCAGTTACTAACTGTAGTTTTGCACTCCACCAGTAGGTGGCCAAAGGGCTTCTCCGCATCACTAGTGCTAGGTCTCCACAAAGTTTTCTATGTCCAGCGTCTTTCAAAGTTTCAATAAAAACTTGAATTCCAAACGAAAAGCAGGTTTCAGTTTGTTTTTTTTACATAGAATTCAAATAATGTGGTTTCAGCATAAAAAAAAGGAAACCTAGAAACAAACTGTCTGTCTCCTCAGTGAAAATGTGACACATGTTATCTGCGAGAACAACTCCGGAGAGGAAGTCAGGATGTGGCTGGAGGCCCAGCAGCGCAGGCAGGGAGAGCTCCACCTGCTGGACGTCAGCTGGTATACAGAGAGCATGCGCCATGGCTTCCCAGTGGAGATTCACCACAGACATAAAATACAGGTGGGCTAATATGGAGTACATTTTGTTCCTTCATTGTTGCAAATAAAAAGAACATGTTTTGTTTGATGGGAGTAAAAAAAAAAAAAGAAAAAACACAGTTTAAATTTTATTTTTAAGAACAAATCTCTATATTAAATTTTTAGATTTTTTTTTTTAAGGAGTGAAGTTTATCCCATTTTTGTGGCAAGCAAAGAAGATTAAAATGTTTCTTAAACTGGAATAAAAAAATGCATTTCAAAATGACACTTTATAAAATGTTTTGCTATTTATTTCAAATGTATCTGTTATATTTAAATTTTTCTCTTTCAAACCAAGTTACTTTAAATGTATTTTTCATATCTTTAATGGATTATATATATATATATATATAGAAACACATATATAAAACAGAAAATTTTATCAGGAAAATGTAAGTTAAAAGAAAAGAATTCCTAAGATGCAAACTGAAAAACTTTATATATATATATATATGTATATATATAAAATTTTTCAGTTTGCATCTTACGGATTCTTTTCTTTTAACTTACATTTTCCTGATAAAATTTTCTGGAGTGAGGAGCGAAGATGTATTTCTATTTGTCTACATCAGAGGTTACCGATCCGGACCCACCTGCTGGCTAATCTGGACCCAATCTGATTTAAAACATTAATAAATTACTGCATGTTGTCCGACGACAGTATCTAATTTCACTTGCGCCGCTTCTCCTGTTAATACGGTAAAGCCCTCTAGAGCGTCCGGCACCAGGTTACATGTGATCCGAATGAGCCAATGAGCTGCTGTCAGTCTGGGTTGCTGCTGCTGCTACTT